TCTGCCTGAAATGCAGGAGACTCTGGTTCGATTCTTGGATCGGGAAGATCCACTAGAGAAGGGATAGGCTACCCACCCCTGTATTGTATTCTTGGGCTTCCTTTGTAGCTCAGCTGGTAAAAAAATCTGCCTGCAATGTGGGAGACCTGGGTTCAATTCCTGGGTTGCGAAGATCCCCTGGAGAAGGGAAAGGCTGCCCACTCCAGTATTTGGCCTGGAGAATTCCATGGACTGTATAGTCCATGGGGTCACAAAGAGTTGGACATGACTGAGCGACTTTCACTTAACCCCAATTCCAGTCCAAGATATGGGACAAACTAAAATTGCAGGTCTCCTGGACATACCAGAGGCCTCTGCCTGCCACTCAAATACAGGGTATGCCAAAAACAAGAGAAGGTCTTGAGAACATCCCTACTGGACGGGAAACATGGCTCTGGAAAAGATGAGAGTCTTTCTAGGTCTAGGGCAGCCCAGAGAATTCTAAGGCAGTCCAGTCCAGCCAGGAAATCATGAAATAGTGCATGGAGAAGTGAGAAGGAAAAAACATAGCATGAGCTCAGAAATGTGAGGACTGGAAAACAACACAAACACTGGTGTTTAATACCTGCCCATATAATTGATAAGTCTTGAATCACTAACCTGATATAAAAAATGAAGTCACTGGACTGGGGAGTATAAATTTCTCCACTCCCCAGAGGCACTATCTACTCTACAGCAGTATTGCAGAGAGAAGGCAGTAGTTTTGGAATAATGCAACTAATTTGTAAAATTTCTGGGAATGAAACTGAGAGGTTTTCATGGGCAATTTGAAAGGGATCACCAAGGAAGAAGGATCTTGGAGAAGAGCTAGATGTCTAGCTTCCATAACTGAGTGGATGGTGGTTTCTACAAATGGTGGAGAGCGATATAGGAGAATAATGAATTCAGCAGGAAAGAATAGGAATTTCATTTTAGATGTGTAGGGTCTGTGAAGCCTGGGACTATCCCAGGGCAATATCAAGGAGAGAGGTGCCAAGATTAGAAGGCTGCTCACTCAAGACCCCAACCTGGGGATTATGGTCAGAAAACAGAATCAGGGAGTGTGGCTGACATGCCCCAGTGTGTACACAAAAAGGCAGGTGCCAAAGACACAACCTGGGGACAGGAATAGGAGCCTGTGGGGATATGATGGTTGACATAAGGAGATGTGGGAGAGCACACTTTTCCACAAAGAAGAACAAAGAGCTACAAAGTGGAGAAGTTACAATAGCATCAAACACAGCAGACAGCTCTAGAAAAACAGCAACGAGGGGGAAAGACACACTGGATTGGAAACTGGGTCACTGTTGGCCTGGCAAGAGCAATTTCAGTACTCTGTGCTGTGCTAGAAGCCAAACTGCAGCGCACTGAAGAGGGAATAAGATGTACAAAAACTCCATTTTCCCTGAAATGTTTGAAAACATTTACCTAGGCCCCCAAACAGCATTATCTGCATGACTATGCTCCATACACGATTGTCACCTCATTCATTAATTCAAGAAAACATTCAGTAAATATCTACCATGTGTCAGAACCCGTACAATGCAGCAGGATATACAGATGAATAAAAGATGAGCCTGTCTTTGAGAGTCTGCAGGTACAGAGACATACATCCATCATCAACCCACGTGACTTAACCAGACTGCTCGAGGCTCCACGTGATACACTGTGCTAATTACAGCAACAGATGCAGGAAGAAAGTACCTGGAGAAGACAGCCCCAGGGGACACCTGGACAGAAGTTAATATGAATTCAGAATGGAGGAAGGGGAGGGGATGGGGAGACAGGAAGGGTCAGGTGGGGTTGACAGTGTGAACATTCGAGGCAGAAAGAATCTGGAAAGGACTGAATACTGACTGGTCCACATTTGTGAGAAATTCAGCAGATTTTTATACCAACCTAATTGGTTTTTCCAGTGGTCATGTATGGATGAGAGAGTTGGACTGTGAAGAAAGCTGAGCGCGGAAGAATTGATGCTTTTGAACTATGGCGTTGGAGAAGACTCTTGAGAGTCCCTTGGACTGCAAGGAGATCCAACCAGTCCATCATCCTAAAGGAGATCAGTCCTGGGTGTTCACTGGAAGGACTGATNCCAGATCATCCTAAAGGAGATCAGTCCTGGGTGTTCACTGGAAGGACTGATGCTGAAGCTGAAACTCCAGTACTTTGGCCACCTCATGTGAAGAGTTGACTCACTGGAAAAGACCCTGATGCTGGCAGGGACTGGGGGCAGGAGGAGAAGGGGACAACAGAGGATGAGATGGCTGGATGGCATCACCGACTCAACGGACATGAGTTTGGGTAAACTCCAGGAGTTTGTGATGGACAGGGAGGCCTGGCGTGCTGTGATTCATGGGGTCGCAAAGAGTCGGACATGAATGAGCGACTGAACTGAACTGAGGGATTTGGGGGTAGGGTTTAGGGGGTTGGTGGGTTGTTTGGTTTGTGTGTGTGTTTTGTTTGGTATGCCAGAACTTCACCATTATTTCCAAAGTGGAAACACCGTGGCAAAGAGAGAACATGTGCTAGGAAGGGTAGAAGGGTTCCTAGGGTCAGACCTTTTATAATTGAGATCAAAAACTACATTTATTTGAAGTCTTATTTTGTATTTCATGCAAATTCTGCATTCTCCACTATATGGTGATGGTGGTGGTTTAGTCACTAAGTCGCGTCCAACTCTTGTGACCTCATGGACTGTAGTCTTCCAGGTTCCTCTGTCCATGGAATTATACCAGCAAGAATACTGGAGTGGGTTGCCATTCCCTTCTCCAGGGGATCTTCCGCACCCAGGGATCATACCCAGGTCTCCTGCCATGCAGGCAGATTCTTTACGGACTGAGCCAGCCGGGAAGCCCCTCTACACTATATACATTGTCTATATTGAGAAATGTTTTAACTTAATGTAAAATATTGGTTTTCCTCTAAAATTTTTAGGTAAAATTGATGTCACAAGCAAATGTACCATATTTACACCCTTCACACACACACACCCCTACCCAGCCACCAGTTTCAATACACATGACCTTGAATGAGTCTCATATAATAATTTCAAACATGACCTCTGATGGTGGGAATCAAGAGGGAGCTTTAAAGAGGAGAGCACTGTGATGGGACTTGGCTTCAGGAGTATAATTCTGTATCCTTAAGAGAATATGAAACACTCCCTGTAGCTCAGACGGTAAAGAATCTGCCCGCAACGTGGGAGACCTGGGTTCGATCCCTGGGTCGGGAAGATCCCCTGGAGAAGGGAATGGCAACCCACTCCAGTATTCTTGCCTGGAGAATCCCATGGACAGAGGAGCCTGTCCATGGGATCAGAGCTACAGTCCACGGGATCGCAGAGAGTCCGACACGAGTGAGCAACTGACACTTACTTATCTGATAAGGAGTTTTAAACTTTGCTTAAAAGCAACATTACATTAGCTTCAGTGTGAGTTTTCAGTATATTTATTCCTCCTTTCCCATGCATTTTTTAAATTAATTTATTTTAATTGGAGACTAATTACTTTACAATAGTGTAGTGGTTTTTGTCATACACTGACATGAATCATCATGGGTTTACATGTGTCCCCCAACCTGAACCCCCCTCCCACCTCCCTCCCCATCCCATCTCTCAGGGTTGTCCCACTGCACCGGCTTTGAGTGCCCTGTTTCATGCATCAAACCTGGACTGGTCATCTATTTCACTTATGATAATATACATGTTTCAGTGCTATTCTCTCAGATCATCCCACCCTTGCCTTCTCCCACAGAGTCCAAAAGTCTGTTCTTTATATCTGCATCTCTTTTGCTGTTTTGCATATAGGGTCATCATTACCATCTTTCTAAATTCCATATAAATGTGTTAATATACTATACTGGGTGTTTTTCTTTCTGACTTACTTCACTGTATAATAGGCTCCAGTTTCACCCACCTCATTAGAACTTATTCAAATAATGTTTTTGATCTCTTATACTAACCCTGTTATAAGCCTGTTGTTGTAAACCACCTCAAATCTATTTTGAAGTAAACCAGACAAAATTAGCAAAAAAAAGAAAATAAGTCATATGAAATTGGCAAATAATATCATAATGTTCTAGAATTAGATACTAGTGATGGCTACACAAATTTGTATATACACTAAAAACACTAAATCATACATTTTAAAAGGATAAATTTTATACTATGCGAATTATAAAATTATATGCCAATAAAGAAATCTTTTTTAAAAAGAGCATAGCAAAAGCACTATGCAATTGTTAATGTCAAATATATTTTATAACTAACCAACCAATTTCACTGATAACCTACCTACAGTTACATGGTAGTTTTCAGTTATTCAGCTATGCTATGTAACAGGAGGTTGTACTTTTAAAAGCTTATCTTAATGTCATAATCACTTTTTAAAATATCTGAATGATATGAACTTTTAAAGGAACACAATGAGTTATAAAGTATCTAATGTGTGACTGTAAATTTGCAGAGACAGTGAGAAATATAAAACAAATATAAAGTATCTTCAGAAGTTTCCCAAGACAAAAAGGCCAATTTTTATAAAACAGAAGTTTGTCTTAAAGCAAAATAACTACAAAGAAAGAGACAACAAAACCCCATGGAAAATTTATATTCTATTAATGAGGTATAACTTCACCATATGTCCACCAACTGTTCACAAACTACCTAATTAAAGCCATGGATGAACAAAGTTCCAGACAAAAAGACTTGAAATGTGAAAAGTCAAGTCTTTTCATTATGGTTCATTATTTTAGCTTAAAGACTTTAGAACTTTTAAAATAATATCTGTGTTTTCATCTTCAAGGAGAAACTTGCTTTCCATTTTCTTTATGGGAAGATAATCTTATCAAATGGTATTCCATTTGTAAGGCTTTCAAGTAGCACTTATAAATAAATGGACCTTTATAAAAAGAAATTGGTTTTCCTGATTTTAAACTTTTTTTTTTTGCTATTTTCACAAGAAGTAAATATTATCTCTCTCTTGTAGGTGGAAAAACTGAGGGGCTTCATCTACGTCTTAATTTCTTGACACCTCTACTTCCTATTTAGCTTTCTTCTTTAGAGGCTAACAGTTGGACGATTCCATCTCAGATGTATTTCCTTCTCAGAAAGAAAACTAACTTGAAGTCTAACTGCATACAAGACAGTTAAAATTTAACCTAAAATTTGTATTTGAGTTCAACAAATGGTCCTGGCACAACTTAACACACTTTTTACAAAAATTAACTCGAATTTGTCACAGACTTAAGAAATACGATGAGTAAGTTCTGAGGATCCAGGGCGCAGCATGGTGACCACAGTTACCAATGTTGTATCACCTGAAAGTTGCTAAGAGAGTAGATCTTGAACGTTATCGCTACAAAGAAAAATGACAATTATGTGAGGTGATAGAAGTGTCAACTAACCTTACTGTGGTAATCATTTCACAGTACATATGTGTATCAAATCATCATGGACACCTTCAACTTACACAATGTTATAAGTCAATTATATCTCAATACAGCTGGAAAAAAATTTTTTAAGTGTTAGAAATATTTACATCATACCCAAATATAATCAAAAATGGACCATAGACCTAAATATGAATGTAAGAATTAAAAATATAAAACTCTTAAAACATTGGAGAAAATTTGTGACATTGGATCAAGCGATGGATTCTTAGCTATAACAACAAAAGTACCCATAAGACAAATATATATATATATATATATATACATATATACATATATATGTATATATATATATATATATATATTCCCCAGTGGACTTCAATGAAATTAAAAACTTTTGTCCTGTAAATGATATCATCAAGAAAGTGAAAAGAAAGACAGCCCAAAGAATAGTAAAAATTATTGCAAATCATATATGTGATAAGATAATTATACCCAGGATATATAAAGAACACTTACAACTCAGCAATAAAAGGATAATTCAATTTAAAAATGGGCAAAGAAACTAAACAGACATTTCTCCAAAGAAGATACACCATCTTTTTTTCATGTGCTTGTTGTAGATGTACACCATCTTCTCTTCCTGTGCTCATTGTAGACATGCATTCACACACACACACACACACACACACACACACACACACACATATGGGGGGCATGGGCAGGGAGAGAAGGAGTCTCACTAAGGAAACATTAGTCAAAATCTCAATGAGCGATCACTACCTGGCATCACTTTTCTTATAGGAATGTAAAGTGCTACAGCCACCCTGGAAAAGGAGTATGGTAGTTTGCTGTAAGACTAAATATACACTTCTTTCACAACAAAGCAATACACTCTTGAGCATTTATCCTACAGAAAAGAAAACTTACATTCACAAATGTTCACAGCAGCTTTACTTGCACTAGCTGAAAACTGAAAACAATACAAATGTTCCTCCAAAGGGGGACTGGTTAAACAAAGTGCAGCATAGTCACATCCTGGAATACTACTCAGCAATAAAAAGGAATGAACTCTGGATACACATAACTTGACTGTACCTCAAGGGAATGGTATCGAGTGAAAAAACTCAATCTCAAAGCCTTATGTGTATAATTATCACAATAAAAATGTCAATTAACAAAAAATTAGCGCATGTCAGATTTATGTATTTTCATAAGCAACTCTGTGAGGAGGGAAGCCGTCTGGAGCCGAGAGGATCAGCTCTTCTTTGCCCTCTCTGTGGTGAATGACTAAACAGTGGTTCTGAGGCCTGGACTGCTTGTCAAAAGAAGCTAACATACTGTAAGGTCCCATTTACATAATATTCTTGAAATGGCAAAGATGGAGAACTGACTGCCAGGAACTAGGGAAAAAGTAAGGAAGGAAGTAACTCCTAAAAAGGGTAACACAAAGTTGTCTTGTGTTGATGTTACTAACAGTGGTGTAATCACATCAATCTATACCTGTGATAAAACTGCACAGAATTACACATGCATATACACACACTCACTCACTCACAAATGAGGACTTATAAAGCTAACGAAATCTGAATAAGCTTTGTGGATTCCATTCAAGTTAATTTCCTCACTGTGATAGTATACTCTAGCTATTCAAGATGTTACTTTTGGGAGAAAATGGGTGAAGAGTATATGGGATATCTCTGTATTGTTTCATACAACTGCCTGTGAATCTACAATGATCTCAAAATAAAAATCTTTTAAAAATTTGGTTGAAAAACCTAAACAGATGATGAAAAACAGAAAAAGTCCACAAGTTTTTGCAACAGCATATCTCATAATGTGAAAGAATATTTTTAGATATGTGATCATTTTCATATATTTGTTGTGGCATATAAGCACTGTGATGTGGCATACATTTTACTGAGTCTGACCCGTGGAATTCTAGAGGTAATGACCTGTACAAGTATCATGACTGCAAAGCAGAAAGTAGCCCCAAGTGTGTGTTAATGGAGTCTGTGAGGGCATGCTCTGTTGAGGAGATCATATCCCAAATTCTAAGACTTCACTACTATAAAAAGAAATAAAGATAACATTAGACTGAATGATTATAGATAAAATCTTAACCTCTTTAATTGGAAAGTTAAAATGCCTTATAGTAGATTAAAAACTAAGGGCAAAATTCTATATAAAAATATCAGTGAAATTAAAACACATTTATGGAATATTTAAGATGATTATACATCCATGAGAAAAAATCACAATTGGTCTCATTTCCATGGTGACACTGGCCTAAGATACAGGAACATACTGAGAGCCTTGGCAGAGGTTGTTGGCTATCCATCAGAATCTTATCTTCCCTCTTCCACAGTAATGGCTAAGCAGGCAGGAGACTACATCTCCCAGCTTCCACTGCAGCCAGGCATGACCTAGGGACTAAGTTCTGGCCAACGGGATGGAAGGGCATTACGTGGTAGTTTCCTGGCACCTCCCTTAAAAGACAACTCTGATGCCTAAGGGTTTTTGTTTTTTCTCTCTTCTACCTCAAGATCCTATGCCTACAGGGTAATAGAAAAGGAAATAAAGCATGTGAAAAAGAGTCGCACAGCTAAAAACCAAAATTAACATAACTAAATTAAACCTATCCAAATCCCACCAACCGCAATACCAATAGCTACAATTCTGAGTGTCCTAACCAAATGTGAATGAGTTAAAGTTGCTCAGTCACGACTGACTTTTTGTGACCCCATGAACTATACAGTCCATGGAATTCTCCAGGCCAGAACGCTGGAGTGAGTAGCTGTTCCCTTCTCCAGGGGAAATTCCCAACCCAGGGAGCAAACTCAGGTCTCCCACATTGCAGGCGGATTCTTTACCAGATGAGCTACCAGGGAAGCCGAGTCCTAACCTACCATTGTGCTAAATTATCCATTTTTACCTCCATAATAGCCCTACAAGGTAAGTATTAGTCCCCACTTTAAAGATGAAGAAGCTGAGGCTCAGAGAGGACAAGGGCTTGGAATCTGGGGAGACAAAACCTTTAATTCTGTTTTTACCCAGAGACTCTCTCCAGCCAGTCTGTATCCCAATAGGTCTCACAATGATTCTAGCCTGATACGCCCTTAAAAGTCTGTGTTTTTATCCATACTCTGCCACTATGATTCTCGGAAGAAATCCACTTATATAGAGGGAAAAGAACCTGCTTTAAGTTCTACCCATGGAACTAGAAAAACAACATGTAGTAACAGTAATACACTTAGGTCACCCAGGGAGTGAGTGGCAGAACGGGGATGTAAAACCAGATTTTCTGACTCCAAAGCCTGCACTATGATCTACTTACACCCACATCACAGCACCTGCTGCTAATATGGACGGTGTCCTTTAGAACTTAATTTTAGATGTTGAAAAGTCTAACTTCCATCAATGGCTCACAATTCAAAAAAACTCTATTTCTGTAACTTGCGAGATATGAAACAGGAGGTCCAGGAATAAAAAAAAAAAAGTCTTTAAAGAATTGCTACCTAATATTTGGAGGAAGTCTTTTTATAACTTTTTAAGTATAGGTAAAGCCAAAAACTACTCTAGAAAAAAAAAAATTAGAGTGCAGAGGGATCTAAATATTCTTGGCTCTGTGTTATATGCCTTTTGAGTCTGAAAGATCCAGACAAATATTTAAGCAGAAAAGAAAAAAACATATACTTTTACTTAAATGGTGAGAAAGAACTAGGCCACATTTCATTTTCATGTCCTGAAATGCTTAATTTAGAACTGGATTTTAAAAACAATCCTCCACAGGCCAGGTCTGGCCCTTCCAGTTGGCACCTGGACATCAAACTCATGACAATCTGGAACAACTGAAAATAGCTCTGAGTATTCAAACCATCATGCAGTAAGGAAGGTCAAATTTGAATTAATGTATTTTAAAAGCCTCAAAAGAGGGGTTTATACAAGCCTTAAATGAGAACAGGAAAAAATAAAGAGAAGAATGACAATTAAGCAGTCAACCCAACCTACATCCCCATCAGCAGTAAGGCCAGACCCCGCTCACATTTTCACCACTGTCTGCATCAGAAGGTACCGCCGTTCACAGCTGTGCGCGGCTGCTCTAACTACAAAGCTGTTTCTTGCATTTTCTACCTATTCCTGTCCAACAAGTTTCACTATTTATATATCTTCTACCGAATAAAGTCCAAATTCCTTTGTCAGGCATTCACTTTCTGATTTGAATTCAACCTACCTTTCCAATTTTATTTCCCATTATTCTTCATTAGCCCCCTATTAGATCCAAACAAGTCTACCCACTGTTGAAAAGGCAGGTACATTGCAGTCCAGCCACCTTTGGTAATGCCATCATCCCTCCTACCCTTGTCCACCTGGTTAAATCCTTCCTATTTCCAAGGACCAACTCAAGGCCCAGCTCTTGTATGAGTCATCACCAGCCACACCAGGATGTATAAAAAGTCTCTCTCCCTTTGAAGTCCTAAATTAGGTTATGTAATATTCAAAACCACTCATTTGGGGCTCAATATAAACTCTCTCATATTAATATTTTTTTAATCTTATTTCTGTCTTAAGTCCTCAAATAAATCTTAAGTTCCCTGAGGGAACAGACTTCAGTCTTTTTTATCACTATATTTTATATTACCTCTAACCAGGAACAAATTAATGTTACATGAGCTTCAGCTAAGAGGATTTTAAAGCATTCATGCCAGGATGCTAAGCAAGTTACTATTTGTAAGTCAAACAGGGGAGTATATATCATCAGAAAATTTCAATATTTCATTGTTTCCACATGTCACAATAAGTGACAATAGTTTCTTTAATTAAAATAAAACTATAGAAGTCCCAATGTGTTCTCATGCCAGGAAAGGATAACTACTGAAGACAAAGCTATCTGACCTGCTGAAAAAGGCGGCAATAAGTTTAATCGCAGCAAGTAGTTTCTCTGCTTGATTCCACATAA